CACAATTCTTTGTGGGAAAAACTTCCATAGTTGTCCCTCCAAACGTGCTGTTTGTTAAAGCTCACTGTGGGTTCCTGGCTTTGGCAGTTAAGCATTGACACTTCAGGACTCCATCATCCCTAGGACAATCTCAGGACTGTAGGTGCTTCCCTTATTGCAGCCTTCATCTGCAACATAGAGCAATCATTGAACTTCTTAGTTATTCTCAAGCTCTTCTCATCAGCCCATTTCTAGTGACTTTCATAAATGATATGTCCTCTGAGCTTCCCCAGGAAACAGATCCCCTAGTGGGTCTTCTGTCCTTACATAATTATCCATTTCAAGAGGCCCACTTTCCTCAGCCACTTTATTTCTTTCTCTACTGTCTTCTAGGGCAACTGGGACATTTCATCTGTATTCAATCCTGGATCTGTGTTCCTCCACGATGCTAAGAGCCACCCTAGCAGACTTGCTCTTTGAGTTTTTGCTAGGTTGTCAAATTCCATGTCTTGAGAAAGTGCTCCTAAGTGAATCAATTCTTACTTATCCAGTCTTTCATTCAGCCCTCCATGATCAACCACTCTCAAAACCTTATGTCAGGAGCCAATACATACTCACCAATTCTCACAATTCTTTTAGTACGTAGTGTCTTTTTTACCTTATCACGCCCTGTATGTTACTAGCTGAGCCACTGACCTGGTTGTCAGTTGAAGAGGTGAGACTATCTTGTGAGGAGGCACCTGTTGCCTTTTGGGAGAAACAGCTCTATAGCTAGCCGGGCACAGTGGCTCACACCTGTAATCCCAGCCCTTTGGGAGGCCAAGGTGGGCGGATCATGAGGTCATGGGTTCGAGACCAGCCTGACCAACATGGTGAAACCCTGTCTCTACTTAAAAATATAAAAATTAGCTGGGTGTGGTGGCATGCACCTGTAATCCCAGCTACTTGGGAGGCTGAGGCAGGAGAATCGCTTGAACCTGGGAGGCGGAGGTTGCAGGGAGCTGAGAGCACGCCATTGTACTCCAGCCTGGGTGACAGAACGAGACTCTGTTTCACAAGAAACAAAACAAAACAAAAAACAGCTCTATAGCATCTTTCAGCAGGGGAGAAGAGCTGGCTCAGGGGGTCTGCGGAACCAACATCCTCAAAGACATCCATCCAGTTGTCCCATTTTATATTTCAAGTTCCTGGGTTTTTCCAATTAGGACCCTGACCAAAGCATAGCAAATCAGCTTTGACTAAGCATTCAAACTCTGGGAATCTAACTATTAGATATTTAGCCTGCTGCTTGGCTATGTCTACTCTTCCTCTGCAGGAAATAAGAGCTTTTTTGTAACTGGTTCTCATACTTAGCCTTTAACATATTTTAAACGGCCTTCAGTTTCTCCTTATCCCTATGCAGGATGATGATGCAATTTAGCAGTAACCAGCCAACTCCACTATCTTTGTAAGAGGTATTCTTCTCTCCTATCTTTCAGCTGCCTGAACTGTCACCTACAATGGTGTTCCCTCTATCAGGAACACCAAAAAGTTTTCCCAGGCTACTGCTGGTGAGATCTTTTACAATGCAGCTGCCACCTTATGCTTGGGATTGTCTCTGCCTTGCAGCCATTCAGCATGGCATCCTCCACCCAACACACAGTGAGGTAAGCTAATCAGTTCCACATTTTCTAAGACCACTCTATCAGACCTCAAGATGAGATTTGAGGTGCAAGATAATTACTAAGGAAAACGTCTGTGAAGAAAATAGTATGCTTGTTGGAAGAGTCACAGAGACACTTAATGCCATGCAGCTCTGACCCTTGTGTAGTATAGAAGGAAGTAAAAAGAGTTGGATAGAAAGAGTTGCACATTGCAGTGCAGTTTTAAGAAGATTTGGCCAAGCCTTTGGGAAGTCCTCAAGTCAAAGTGACTCATCAAAGGAATTCCACATCTTTCAGAAATGGGCTTACCTTAAAAACCCTGCTGTGCTTAGTCACAGGCTGGGAGGAGCTCGTGGGAAATGTGGCCTCAGTATGAGTGCAGCATTGGGCTCACAGCACAGAAGCTGAGCCATTTGTCAATTATATTCCCCAGAGCATGAGATCTTAGAGACACACATTTGCAGGATCACCACAACCATAGAACCTTACCTAAAATGACGCAAAGGTAGGCTTCAAAAATTGATTAGCGATCTGAGTAAAAACTGATCATGTTAATACTAAAAAAGGAAGAATATTTTTGCAACATAGGGTAAGGAATAAATTGTTTCAGAAATGCTTAGAAAGTATTAAATGCAAGGCAAAAATAAGATACATTTGACTATTGACTATTTCTGTTATGCAACTAATAAACTAACACTATAGATAGAATTGAGGAAGATACTTAAATTATCTAAAGTGGACAATGCACTGATATCTACAATATACAGGATAATCCAGCAAATCAACTAGGAAAACAATAATCTCAGTAGAAACATGGGTAAAGCACATGAAAAAAAATTTACAAACACAAAAACCTAGCAAGGATATTTTTAAAAAGGCCCAAATAATGAGTATTCAGAAAACTACAATTAAAACAAAACTAAGGCACAACGTTACATCTAATAAACAAATGGAATAAGTTGAGTGTAGGCAAGGATGTAGAACCTTCACAGAATGCTAGTAGTAGCGGCAAATTTTAGTTGAATTACATATATGTATGCTCTATGACCCAGGAACTCTGTAACAGCCAATATCATGTACAAAGTCACTTTCACGTTGTATTCCAGTACATTTTCTTCAGATTAGACTAGAATCAATAATCTATCTTTGTATTTAATTGTTGAAGGACGAAGAACGGTTTCCTCACACTGAATAAAGATCCCAAGGTGGTTAGCATAAGTAGTAAAGAATTACCCTAGCATTCTTTGCAAAATAATCAACATAAAATTTCATTTCTTAGAGTTGCAGGCAATATAAAGAGAAAGTTTTGGACATTGGACTTCTACTTAACTCTGGTAAATAAATATCATATTTATAACAAATACTTGTAACTAACTGCACTAACTGGCACTCACAGAGACCCAGGAGTTTTGCATACCCCAGACCCAGGAATTATGGCAAGGTAAGAGATCCATCCATGCATGCCCCTCGAAAGGGGTGAATATAGGAACCCAAATGGCATGGTTATGCAGGCCCCACTCCCACGACACCACACAAGTTAAGATCCACTGGCTTGGAATTGGAGCTCGCCAGCAGCAGCAGCCTGGAGACTGAGATGGAGTGAGTTCCCATGCAGATCGTGGCCAGACTGATTCTTTAAGTGGTACCCAGAACCGTCTCAGGAACCAGGACCTCCTTACTGTGTGGGGCCTCCCTGTGGGAATTTCAACTACTCCAGCAAGATTCATATGGACAGAACTCTAATGTCTTCCTGAAATGGAGTCCCCAGGGGAAGGGCAACTGTCATTTCTGTGTTTCAGCTGACTTCGCCTTTCCAGGCTGCTGACTCTGGAGAAGCCAGGAAGTTAGTGCAGCACATCTGCTCTGCCAAGAGGCAGTCAGATTGTTTCTTTAGGCAGGTCTCTGATCCAGTTACTCCTGACTGGGTAAGATCTCCCAACATGAGTCTCCAGACACCTCCAACAGGAGTATTCAGCATCAGGTTGGTGCGCCCTGGAATGGAGCTGCCAAAGGAAGGAGCAGGCTTCCATCTTTGCTGTTCTGGTGAGATCTTCAGGTATGGGAGGGACCAAGGCAACTAGGGTCTGAAGTAGACCCCCAGAAAGAACAGAAGCCCTGAGTTGCCTGACTGTTAAAAAAACAAGCAAACAGAAAGCAGCAACAACAAAATCAACGGAAAAGATCTCGCAAAACCCTATTAAAAGGTCAGCAACCACAGAGATTAGAGGTAGATAAGCCCACAAAGATGAGAAAAATATGGTGCAAAAATGCTGAAAACTAAAAATCCAGAGTGCTTCTACTCCTCCAGATGACCACAATGCTTTTACAGCAAAGGCACAGAACTGGGCTGCGGCTAAGATGGCTAAACTGCCAGAAGTAGTCTTTGGAAGTTGGATAATAACAAACTTCACTTAGCTGAAGAAGCATGTTCTAACCCAACACAAAGTAGCTAAGAATCATGATAAAACAATACAGGAGGTGATAACAAAAATAGCCAGTTTAAAAAGGAACATAACTAACCTGATGGAACTGAAAAACACAACACAAGGACTACACTATACAACCACAACTTTCAGTAGCAAAATAGACCAAGTGGAGGAAAGATAGACTTAAATAGTAGCCAAGGGCTGCTATTTCTCCACCCACAACTTCCACAATCAGCTGGTGATGGGGAAAATAAACTATTATTTTTTAGAGCTAGATTTGTATCAAGCACCATTCATATAGTAATTCTAATTGATAAAGAGGAGAGTCTTTGGTATCAGAAAAACCTGGAGGGAAATGCTGGCTCTATCGTTTACAGAAATATGAGACTAGTCAAATTATTTCACATCTATGAGCCTCAGTTTTTATTTCTGTAAAATGAGGTTAATTCCTCCCTACTGTTGTGAAGTATTAAATAAGATAATCCATGTAAAGTATTGATGGCTGGCCTTTGATGAGTACTATTTATTTGCAATAATTATACTTTCATTTTTAAAAATTTCAACTTTTATTTTAGATATAGTGGATATGGAGATACCTGCTGTTCAACAAGAATTTACGGAGTATTTCTTGAGTCATATTTATATTATGTATTTAGGTTTTAAGAAGATCTGAGTGTTTTTATCGAGAGCTTTTATGTAAAAGTTTCTTTAAGATACTTGTATACTTACCAATAATCTTCTTTAAACTTTTAATTCTAGCATATTCCTAAGATATTTTTCATTCAAATCTTTGTAACCAGTTTCTTCTCCTTTAACAAAATTAGTCCACACCAAAAATATACATATTGCTTTCTGGTTGGGACTATGCTGTCTCTGGCTTTCTTCAAGGTATTCTATGGGTTGAAACTTCTCTGTTCAGACTTGTCCAACTAGTTTCATTTCAACTACTTGTAATTTGTTTCCTTATTTCTTTGAGCCGTAGACTTCCTATGCATCTAGGGATGTCATATAGTTGATTAGAAAGTGGAGTTCAGTGGGTGCAGAGCTGCAAGATCATATTCTTCCTCCTGTCCATGATGTATCGGTAAGTTCAGTTCTGTTTTATAGATGGCTTGCTTGCTGTACTGTCTGCCAGTGACCAGATACCTGATGTGTCAGAGGACTGCTAGTGAGATGTCTTTAGTGGAGTCAATCTGCATTGGATTTTTTAAAATTTCTGGAGTTATGATAGCATCCTGGATTAATTAATCTCTGTGTTTCAAATCAATGTTTTTGTGTAAAAATTGTTAGCATTATTTCACGTTGCCAAGTTCAGTAGTTAAGATTTTAGAAAAGGTTAATTAAACACTATGTTATATTGTATCCTAACTGGTTTAATTTTGTGTGTGTGTGGAAGGAGGGTGTTTATGTGTTTTAAAGCAAGCCTCCTTTCAGCAATCTTGACAAAATTAAGCCTCTATAGCATTTTCTCTTGTGCTGTGTTTACTTGTCCCTTATGGTGAGTACTTGTGGGACTAACGCAGATTGAGAGGTAAATAGCTGCAGAGACACCTGCCTCCATTTAGAAGACCCAGGGCTTCCTTGTGGGAGGATAAGAAAACAAGCTCAATATTGGGAAAACATCCCTATTCTCTACAATTCCTCCCATTACATTTTGAA